GAGCTGGAACAGCTATGCTGAGAAACTAAGCAACACCTGTCAAAACAACCCACATTCAGCAGCAGAGAAGACCCCAGGGCCACTAACCAGACTCCTAATCAGAAATACACTCAGAGATCAACAGAGATCAAAACAGCACCAGAGATTAGGACTCCTGGGAAAGATATCCTAGCAAAGAAACAGACTTTTTCCTGCTTGAATTTATGTTCGTCAATCAGGAAAGGGTTGGGGTTTTTTAGAGCTGTACTGCTCAAGTATATTTCCAAGGCTGACAGCTCTGGTATAGCACTCAACTAGAGACAAGTGAGACATCCATTGGAGGTTGACGGAGTTGATTTACTGGTAATATACTTTATAAATACAAGATTAGGTAAGATGGAAGGCTCAGGACTGCAACAATTGCTTTTCAACAGCTGCTTTACACATATTTATGCGAGATGGCAAAAGGACAGAAGGCCAATCAAGTGAATGGTATTTCTAGTTTTTCGTGTTATATTGTGTCATAATTTGAATCACATTTTAAATGCCTTCATTTATGAAAGATATTTTATATGTAATTGCATATTCATATCCAGAAAGACCATGTTCTGACCTCTGGTAATGCTCTCAATTTAGTGGTGAATGAAAGCTCTTGAAATTATTTAAATTTAAATTTAGATCCAGGAAAGGACTTAAGCCCTTTTAAAAGAGAACTCCAAACCCTGAGGGAGGTGCTGAAGCTCCTGGTATAATACGTGGCAAGTGAGGTTCCTCCGAACAGGATTCAATATAGGCAGTACAGTGCACTGAGGAAGATGACCACTCAGCTACAGGTAGCTGCTGAGGACAGGGGTGGTATGACAGGACCTTTTCCCAGGAAGCCATAGCACTGTCTGGTAACTGAACTAGTCCTGCCTCTGTCCAGTCCTCCAGGATACCACACTGTTTTGCCTGCTATGCCCTGGGGTTATCTATGTGTTAAATTGGGAAGCTGTCCCCAGAGTCTTTAAGTGGGCTTAATGAATCCAGCCTCAGTCACTTACTTGAACTGCTGGATTCAGCACACCCACATGTGCCAAGGTGTCCTGTATTTGCCATCTCCTTGTCTGCCTCATTGGCACCTGTGCATCATCCATGGCCCTACCAGCCCTAACTGTACCTTAAGGGCACTAATTGTGCCCTCTAGCCTCCCCCGTAATTACATCCATGCCTCATAGGTATCACTCAAAGTTCATTCGACAAGCCCTCTGGCCCTGTCCAATATCAGTTTACACCCAGCCCTGGGCCCTGACTGGGCTGCTGTCTCCCTTTCTCAGCCTACCAGTAGTCTGATCCTTGTACGGCTCAAGGCATAGAGTGCCTCCCAGGCACCCCTGTGGCCTCCAATTCCCCTACAGACACAACCCAAACCGCTGGTTAGAACAAACACAAAATACCAGCCCACCAGTTTCTAACTCAACCACAAACCCCACCTTGGGTCTCTAACCACAGCAAAAAGTCTATCCCCAGTCTGCTGGGCCCCTCCTAACCATCTCAGTACCATCCTGAGTCTACAGTTTTCCTCTTATACAGCTTAGACTGGTAAGAACTTTTCTTCTTTCAGTAGTAAGAGCCAGCCTGCCAAGTGCTAGTTCTGGTCCCAGGACTCCACCCCTTCAGGTCATCTGTCTCAGGTCCTTGTAAACAGGCCCAGGAGTTTCTTCTCAGTCAGTTAACAAGCCTGCTCCCTACTTCAGCTGCTGCCTATCTGGCTGTTCTGCAGGCTTCAAATAACTTCCTGGCTGGGATGCTTCCTGTTCACAGCAGGGCAGCTTGCTCAAAATAGCCCTTGTTGCCTTAGAGTTGGCTCTGTGATTCTGTGGCTGCTGGATAATATGAAGTTTACCCCCTCTAGGGTACAAAAGTCCAATGCTTAATAGGACCCTACTCTCCCCTCCTGCTCTTTCTCTCTCTAAGAGGAACAAGGCTGGGATCCCCTGTTACAGGTGGGCCTTAGATCCCATCCCTTAGACATCTCACTGGAGGCTGCAAGGTATCTCTGTCCACTTACAAATCTGAATCAGAGCCACCTTCTCCAGAAGACAGGTGTTTGTGCCTTTTCTTTAAAAAAAAAAAAAAAATGGAAGAAAGACCCCCAGTCCCAGAATTATTTCTGTATTTTATGCAAGATTTATTTCAGGTGAAATAAGAGAAGAATCATGTGGAGCAGGGAGTGTAATACAAGTCTCACCTTTACCACTTAGCTACAGCCTTGCTCTCTATGTTACATTCCTATTCCTTTTTGCTAGTGACATGATACTGAGTGTCCAGGGAAGTTTAAGATCAAAACCTACAGCGTTTACAGAGTTTAGGTGCCTCTGTGGTTAGGAAACAGCAGAGCTGACATTTGCAGGATCACAACTATCTAAATCCTACCTGAGTCCATGCCTTAGCTTTTGATTTAGCTCTTACTTTAGAATTCACCACATAGAGACAGTTAGTAAATCTCAGTTAAGCTGGCAGCCCAGGCCTTTTACTTTTTAGAGACTATTCAATCAATATTTGAACGTGTGCTGAAGGGCATAGGGAATCAGGGCCTAAGCTTAAGTGTTGCACAGTCCCTGTGTTACACTTTCTGCGCAGAGTTGAGACAGCCTTTCATACATTTTAATCTTTCTAAACCCAGTAAGTGAGACACAAGATAACATACAAAATATGTACTTTTACCCTAGAACTTGAGAACTCCCCAAGGAATATTCACTCTGCCCTGCCTTCTGCTTTCTGATAATGATGATTAGATCTCATACAAGCTTCATTATGCATACATTTTTTTTAATCTGGTGAGAAGAAAATACCATAAATTACATAATAAAACAAAAACACATATTTCTAGCGCACGTTACCGTCTCACGTCTGTGTAACTGACAAGAAGGAAGGACTTGCTTTTATTTTCGGTTTCTTTTGAAGCAGCCTGTCTCCACCCACTGGCTGAATGAAAAGAAGTAAGAAAATAGCCACCTCTTGTGGCTACCAATAGATTTTCAACTTGTGTGAAACAACTTTGTAAGCTGAAAAGGCATTGTATAGTATACTGTTCTAAACACTGTTTATTAAACTGCACTTGAATGTGTGTGCTTTTTTCCTACAGCTTCTGTTAATTGAAAAAAGTCATCAATCTACTTTTAAATGACTGAGCTGAGACGTAGCTCTAAAAAAAGTAATGTAACGTGACTTAGGCACTTAACTCTTATGCTGTAAATAGATGTTGCATTTGTCCTGGGAAAAAGTCTATTGTCCTGGGATCCTACAGGCATCCTACAGCTCTACTGTCCCACTTCAAATCCCTCTGAAATATGCAGGATAAAATGTGCTTATGCCTTTTCACAGGACATGTTTGTGTGCATCTGTAAAGTTATTGTGCTTTTTTCCTAAGACAAGCCAACCAGGCTGTGTGCTCCTCTTTGCCAGAGGAGCAACAATGAAGCTTGGAAGAGTGCACCGTGTAAATGACTGCTGTGCCCATTTTGATCCATATCAAACTCAAGGGTCAGGTCCACATCAAATCAGGCACCTATTTACACTCTTAGACTTGAAAATCTTCTCTTAAAAGCTTTACAATGGGACAGATTCTGGAACCAAACTGGCACCTGGCAAATTACCATGGACCTACTGATGTCAACAGCCTGAGTATTTGCTCTGCTAGATTTTTCTCCCAAATGACAAGAGATCGTCATAATCGCATAGTACCCATCTTCCCATTTTCTGCATAGTTATATTCTGTTGTACTAACTTTTCAAATAAATGGCACTGCGCGAGAACTATAATATTTGGTAGTAAATTATGCAGCAGAGAGAACAGTCTTGCTCTCTGCCAAAAGAACTATAATATTTGGTAGTAAATTATGCAGCAGGGAGGCATTGGTATGTCCAATGTAGCATTTTTTAATAAGGTTCTTCTTAAATGTATGATTTTCTCATTGGTACCTGCCAGACAAAATAAAATCATAATTGTATGAAAAATGTTTCTCCATTAAAACTGGAACCATTGAAAAAGACCCTTTTAAGAGGAAAGTCAAGGATCTAAGCAATTTCTGCTTTCCCCCTTCAAATGTGGAATTTCAAATGTGACATTACTAAAAAAAAAAAAAGAGTGTTATATTTTCAGCCAGGTGCAAAATGCTGCAGATACCAGTGGCAAGAACACAGGAAGAAGACCTTTTTAACAGCAAAGTCAAGAATCTAAACAGTTTCCACTTTTCCCCCTCAAATGCATCTCACATAGTTTGCAAAGAAGAATTTTCTCAACTATTTGCGTTTGTCTAATAAAAGATATCGGATTTACCCAAATAAACTTGTCTCACAAAGGAGGCACCGGCAATTCATCTAGTGACAGGGACACCACTAGGAAAAAGAATTATATTTTCAGCCACTGTCCCCCGCAGAGCCCCAGGGATGAGACCGGAGGAGACAGGCACCTGGAGGCTGCTCTAGGCTCTATGAAAACGTATACTATCTACTTTGAATCCTGTTTGGAGGAACCAAACTCGCCACGTCTTGTACCAGGAGCTTCAGCGCCTCACTCAGAGAGTGGAGTTCTCTTCTAAAAGGGCTGAAGTCCTTCCCTGGCTCTAATTTTAAATTTCAACAATTTCAAGAGCTGGCAGGGAAACACCATGTATCTGGGTCCATGAAGGCAGTTTTCCTTAAGCGTTCCCAGGGATACCTGTTCTTCTGGGTTGGTTTAGTACCCGGTGAGGTGTTAGGGCAGGGGTGTCCAACTTTTCTGAATGTGGGGCCGGATCACGAACTTTTTATCACCCAGTGGGCCGGGGAGCCATATTCAAAGATGTCACCGGAAGTGGTATCATATCAGGAAGTGATGTCACATGACCTTTGACACCAATGAAGTTGCAGGGGTTGACATGGTGCTGGTTGACATGGCATGCATGCCCGGGTTGACATGGTGCTGCAGGACCTGCCTGGGCAGAACTGGGTCAGCACCGGCCAGAAAAAGCAGCATGCAGCTGAAGCTGGCTTCCTATGTGCTGCTGGGGACGGGAGGAGGCCGGCCAGGTCTGCACCGGCCAGCAGAAGCAGGGGCGGAGCCGTGTGCTGCTTGGGACTGACCGGTGCAGACT